AACCAAACGAGCTTTAAATGAGCTCGAGCTCGGCTCGTTAAGGCTTCGAGCTCGAGCCGAACCGAGCCTTAACGAGCCGAGCTCGAGCCGAGCCAGGCTCGTTTAATTTAACAGCACTACTTTGTTGTTACATGGAAGATTTTTTATTTATTTGTTTTCATATAATTTCTTGAATGCATATAATATGTATGTATTCTATTTTATAACTATTGTTGTGGTTGTTAACTTAATTTTATAATTTTTTCTTGCTTTTATTTAATTTAATTGTTACATATGTATATATATATACATATCTATATATATATAATCACTTGCTTTTAAGTTTAGGTAATAAGGTTTGAAGAGAAGAAAAAGAAGAAGAAAGAAGAAGGAGAAACATTAAAAGAAGAACAAAAGGGAAGAAGAAGAAGAAGAACGTGAAGAGAGAAGTAGGAGAGAGAAAGAAGAAAGAGAAGAAAAATAAGAGAAATTATAGGATGAGAGAGAGAGAGAGAGTGGTTTTTTTTTGGCTGCCTATTTTTGTCTAATGTTTGGAGTAAATTAGGTATTATGTATGACTTGCAACTGTTATGTAAAATTATTGTTAAAGAGGAGTAGTTATAAATTTTTCCCCATGCGGATGTATTGAATCTTTGGTGGCAAAAGCTATCTAAGAATAATGATATTTATATCGAACTCGTTTTGATGAAGCTACAAATTGGCATTTTTCAATTTTTTGTCCAATAAAAGAAAGTTAACATGATGGCCAATTACGGCAAGTTGTTTGAACAATTTATATGGGAAATAAACGACTAGAAGATGGGACAGCCTAACGTCAAAACATATGGCCATACTGAATTCATGGGTTTCAACTCCTCGTGGGCCATCATATGGCCATAATAGATATCATAAATATTGGAATCACATTCATATTTTTTTTTTTGGTACATAGGAATAGACCAACACCTAACGATTTAGTTGCACACGGCCCGTGTATAAGCTACGCCAAGAAAATCGTGGAGCCATTGGCGAACCCCATCCCGCGGATTATGTAAGAAGTGATACCCTATGGATCCATCCGCAGCGAAGAAGCCAAATGGTCAGCTGCAAAATTCACTTCGCGGTATATATATATGTTTCACTTTGACGTTCCAAGGTTGACCGAGTAATTCTTTTATGCCCAACACGAGACCTATGTTCACCCATAGTGCCTCATTAGGACATCTTGTGAATCCCACGACACTCTCATTGTCTACTTCTGCTTCGACTTGTCGAAAGCCTAACTCCCAAGCCAACATAATTGGCTGCGGAATCACATACATTATTTACTTTATTTCCAAGAAGTAAAGAAGTTCTTTATTCTTTTTTTTTTTTCAAACGGCAATTATATTAATAACTTAAAAACTCAAACGAATACAACCGAAGTGTCAAAAGACAGTGGAACCAGAAATATGGACCAACCCCCTTGTTATCACAAACAAGGGGTACAAACTCCATCAATGAGGCAAACAACACAAAGCAAAAGCAGACACAATTGCACTAAAAGCAGACAAAGCTGCACTAACACAAAGAAAACTAAAACAACGCACACCTAGTAAAAAAATAGAATAAGACCTCTCCTAAACCTAACTAGCAAACCACACGACCACCCAACCCGGCACACGAGCCACCCTCCACAACATTGAATTCTAACAGAACTACAAATCTAGAGCACAGACCCAAAAATTGCGGCCAAACTCAAACCGCTTAGACAGATCTGGCAAGGAGGCGATTCTCAGTCCAAATCTGAACTCCATCAACCTTCACGCCGGGAGAGCCGCCTCGAATTCTTTATTCAGATATGGAAAAAGGATGGAAATCTAATAATAATTCAGTAGGGACAAACAATAGTGAACTTGTTGCCTCAGAGGACAATCTCAAATTTGCCATCCCCACAATAATTGGATTTCTCACCAATTTTCTTAATTAATGTTGCCATAATTTTCGTGGTCATACTTCGTACTGTAGCTCAAAGGCTGGCATGTTTTGCTGCTTTAACTATTAGAAGATGTATTTGTCCTCATATAAAAGAATATAGACTCCATCTCGGCTTGATAGATATATATGTACACGTCTTACTTTTGTTGATTGGTTACCAATCATTTTCTTAACAAAATATATATAAAAAAAAAAAAAACTTTGCACCATATTGGATTTATAGTAAATAGGATTTATTTTACATTTATTCGAACTAGTTCATAAGTTAATTGATAGATTATAAAGTAATTTTGAGATAAAAGCTAAAATTTATGTTGATAGTTGAAAAGGTAGTTAATTAAAAAAAAAAAAAATGGTTAGCTAAAAAAAAGTTAAGCCAAACTTATTTGAATAAATCTTATAAACTAAATAAATAAACATAAATCAATTGGTGCTTATAAACATATATAGTCCATTGGTATACAATGATTAAAAGTTAAAACCATCATTTACTCGTTAAAAAATGGAAATATAAGATTTATCAATGGTGAAGTACATAAATGGGCCTTAACAAAAAGAAAGGAAAAATTGTAATGGGCTTCGCAAAATTGTGTCCATGAAAACGTATGGCCCATAAATTCCCAACACTAATTTAATATATAAAAAAAAAATGAAATAACAAAACCATAAATAGCAGCAAGAGACGAGCACAGAGATCATAGAGAGAGAGAGAGAAAAGGAGAGGCCGTACGAAGGTCTTATTAGAAATGGAGGTGGTTATGGCGCCAACTTCAACGATGCTTCTTCAATTTTGACTCTCTCTCTCTCTACCTCTCCCTCTCTCTCTCTCACACACACACAGTTGTGGCGGTCGGAGCTGTGGCGGATTCTACCTTCTCTCTCACCTCTCCAATTTTGTTTTCTCAGTTTAGATTTCCTTTATTTTTTAAGATCCTCTGAATTCACGCTTACCTTCGTCGGATTCGATTGAGCAGCTGGAAAATTCTGAAAGAAAAGGTAAAAAATACAGGGAAGGAGGCCACGAATCGGAGAGATTATCCCCGTTTTGTTATCTGTTAGCCTTCATTTTCGTCCGGCGCCGTCGTCCAAGCATCGGAAGATCGATTGCGTACGTTCTTAATTCATTTGATCCATGCGCATGTTTTCATTTTGATTATCGCTTTCGTTTTTGGAATTGGGGGAACTGTGTTTTCTTTCTTCTTTTTTAGTTTGGTGTTTGTGTGTGTGTGTGTGTGTGTGGAGGCGTCTGCTTTTTTCCCTATGTGCATATTGGTGATTAAAATAATATTGAATGGTTGCAGCTGCCTAGGAATGCGTGATTTATAATTAATTTTTTATATGATTTTTTTTTTTTTTGCTTTTTTTTTTTCTTTTGAAATATATCTTCTCTACCTAGATCTGATTAATCAGCTCCATTTTTACATTGAGTTATGTTGCTGAATTTTGGCAATGGAATATACATTTGTGAACCGAAGTAGTGTGCATATGTGTAAATGATTCAGTGCATGTTAGATTTACAAGCTGAATCCTGTTTCACTGGAATTTGTTAACAAAAATATGTTTCCTTCACAATTTTCTATATGTTTGTATACTTTCGCATAATGTTTGTTCTAAGAACAGTTTGTTCCGTATAATTCTGTAAGTGGCTGACCAGAGATCAAAATTTACCTCAGTTTGGCAGATTGATTGATGGCAACAAGTGTCGCCGCAGGCAGCGGCCTACACTTTAAAGACACAATTTACAGGGGACAGGGCTGCCGGTGGGCTTATATGGTTCGCAGTATAGCAGTCTCGAACTGCATGCAAAAAGAGATCTCGTGGTATGTTATATTGGCTAAAATCTGGCAATTTTATGTGGTTCAGTTGTAGTTTGCCTAGAGAACTTAAGCTGACTTTTTTCCTTCAGTGGTGCTGTTGCTCGTTACACTGTATGCTACATTGTGGTGTTGAACCTAACCTCCTTGTGACATGACCATGAAACTGCAGCTATGACTAGTTCTTTTCCCTCAACTCTGCTCCTGATAATTGATGATTACTTCCTCAGGACTCATGGCGTCTCTAAAAGCTTACACATCAACAAGAATAAATATTTGCACTATCAATCTAAGGGAAATCGTAAGCAAATAAGAGCTTCAAGCTTGAGAGATGATTATAGCAAATATTTTGACTTTGCTGTGATCGGAAGTGGGGTGGCTGGCCTCCGTTATGCCCTTGAGGTTGCAAAACACGGAACTGTTGCAGTCATAACAAAGGCGGAGCCCCATGAGAGCAACACCAACTATGCGCAAGGTGGCGTGAGTGCCGTTTTCTGCCCATCAGACTCCGTCGAGAGTCACGTGCTGGACACAATGGTCGCGGGTGCTTATTTATGTGATGAGGAGACCGTTCGAGTATGT